CTAGGGAAGAGAAACAAATGCTATTACCCCATAAAACATTTTTAGCCACTAAATATTTAAATTTATTTGTACATATGTGTGTTGATGGGAGTTTATGCCATTTATGTCGATGTCCCTTCAGAGACTAGAGATGAGATTTGAGTATCCTGAATCAGGAATTATAGGTAGTTGTGAGCCATGTTGACATGGGTGTTTTGAATTAAAATTGCAATGTATAGAAGAGAGAAAAACGCTCCTAATCTGCAATCCATCTTTCCAGCCCCACAGTGACACATTTTGAATATGTGTCAATATATTCCTGTGCATTCTATGTATTGACATATATAGGAATAATATAAGCAATATAGGAAATCATTTTCCAGTATATTTCAATGTAGTACAGAGTTTCTATAAAAATAGTCTTTTTCATAAACTACAGTTGTTTACTCATTGTATTTTGTAAGTGTGTTTTAGTTTTCACCTTTCATTGCACCTATAATCTCATTGTCTGTATAATTCAAGTGGATCTTTGTATACATCTCTGCTAATTAACCACTTTCTTCCCTTGAGTGTTGATGCTACAATTGTAATTCCACTAACTAGGGCAAGCATTTCTACACATGAGTCTATGGTGGCTATTCTCATTCACATCACTATATTCCATTCTCTGGCCCTTATAAACTTTGTAGTGATATTATAAAAGCGAAATGCATTCCATCTAGCTTCCAAAGTTCCTATAGTCCTTCACAGTTTCAACACTGTCTGAAAATCCAGTCTCTCCTGATACTTAAGGCAACCACAAATACAAATACAAAAAGCAATCCACATATTTCCAATATACAATCTATCTATACATTGCAGTACGTTTTCTAAAATATTACACCTCCAATGACAGGAGATAGATATTAGTCTTCAAAAATGGAGAAAATGGAAAGCAACTGTGGACAGGTCTGAATCAGTTAGTTGTATAATGACCACTAGTAGGAAATCCCACTAGTAGATCCACCAAATACTGAAAATGTTGCAAAGAAAGTACATTTTAAAAGAAAACACAGACAATACCACAGTCTCCCCTATATAATCAATAGTATTAATAAACATTAATGAAACAACATAGGTAGGTGATGTCAGCAAGGATTGGAATCTGATGAGTCAATGGAATTCTCAGAACTGTGAAGTAGGCCAGTAACAGTAATAGGTCAGGTACCCATAAGCCAACAAGGAGCCTCAAAGGACAAGTGAGAGTCACTGTTTCCTTGTCAGCTCCACTGGCATATTTTAGTGACTGCCCTGTCACATCACCTACCAACAATTCACTTGAAAACAGCATCTTTGGTTAGTAGACCTTTCGTCCACCTTTATTGTATACTCTGAATAATGACGTTAAAATTTTATTCATATCAAAATTCACCATTAACCATTCATTTTAAGTATACAATTCCACAGCAAGAAGAACATCCATTGCTGTGTTATAAAATCATCACAACTTTCCATCTTCTCTAACTAAATTCTATCCTTAGTGAATGTTACCTATTTCTTTTTGCTCTGGTCCCTAGCAACCAACAGTATGGTTTTCAGCTAGGTGGAGTTGAACCCCCCCAGGGGCTTCCTTAGTAGAATCCTATGGTATTTGAGATACTTTGTATCTTATTTATTGTTCTATTAGTGTGAAGACATCATAGCCAAGGCAACTCTTATGAATATAAGCATTTAATTAGAATCTTGCTTACAGTTTTAGAGGGTTAGTCCATGATACGATGTCAGGAAGGAATGAATAATACTTTCTTATTGCATTCTGAACAGTTCTGGCTCTTCTAATCTCCATCACAAGCACAGAACTGTCCCGTCTGCTACCCAGTGAAACTGTATAACTCTCTGACTGTACCAGTACATACAAGGAGCTTTTGATTTATTTAGGATTATAAGTAGAAGGACTGGTCTAGGGAAACAGCCTGTTTTTTAAACTGTTGTCAGTTAAAATGACCTCTCTGATTGGAGATTTCATAATGAAAGAGTCTATTCCTTTACCTTACCGAATGCTGAGGAGCAAGGCAACTCATGAATTTAATTCAAGTATTAATATTAATTTTCTTCTAAGTTCTATTCCTATAAGTACATTGTAGTATCTAGGTGCAGACAGAGGCAAGAGTATTACAACTTCTGGTGCAGTCTAGACTCCAGAATGATTTTTGAGGGTATTCAGGACTATTCAATGAGGCTTTTTCTCATAACAAGCAAACCAACTTTAGCATAAAAGCAAGCATACATAGACTACTTTTGGAATCAAGACAACTTTGTTCACCTTTCAACATCTTCTGTCAATATAATACTTCAATAGCATTGTGTTTATGCATAATGTCTCAACTTTAATATTCAGAAACACAGAAAAGACATGTGTATGATTATAAGGTCAAAGAGAATTATGGTTATCAATAAGGCCCTTTGCATAAAGTTTATAACAATGATTTTCTGGCTTCCATCTTTAACAAACCCTTACCTTATGGCCACTGTCCAAAGTATTGCTAACAAAAACACTTAGAAACTCCCACAAATGTTTTTCCAAAGATTCATTTGAGTGACTTAACTTGCCTGACTGTCTCCATTTACTTTAATCTATACCTGAAATTGCCTACATCTAAAACTAAACTGATAATTTGAGTTTTCATTTCAGAGTATAGCTCAGGCATGAGGTGATATCCTCATTTCTAATACTTAATATCCTCCATTTGATTGAATGAGAGAGAATGTCCATTAAGAATTTCTGGCTTCATGTGGCTCTGTCTCTTTATCCTCTAACTAAAGCATGCATTTAGATAGATACATACATAAATTGACTTCTGCTGAGCCCATCTTTAATAAGTATCACCTTTAAATCATGCTACAGATGCAATCTATAGTACTAACAAAGGATAATTAAAAACTTTACCCATGTTGCCTCTCAATGCTGCTTCATGATCAACAAAAAGCAAGTCTCCTTTTTTTAATTGTAAATTATTCCAATTCAGTAGATTGTTGAATTCAGGAACATGAGTTCCCTTTGGCCTTACTTAAAATACATCCTTAAATTTTCTTGGGAGCACATGGAAGGATGCACATGTAGAGAGTTCCTGAAAGTGCATGCTGGGAAAACCTCTTCCAATTATTGGGGCTTATATTTGTGGTAGAATATTTTACTAACATGTACTAGTCCTGGTAATCTACATTTAACAAACACGAACAACACTCACACAAATGCACATACACACACACATACACACACACACATACACACACACACACATAAACACACACACACAATAAAACCACTATCACTATAAAAAATAGCAACGATCCTTACAAAAGCTATGCATGGTGGTCTTGCTAATAACCTCAGTGTAGGGAATCTGAGGCAGGATTGTTTTATGTATGAGACTAATGTGAACTACATAGGAAATTGGAGAAATGATTGACTCACACTTTAAGACCATGTCCAATATAAAGAAATAACAGAAAAAAGGTAAAAAAAATTTATTAAGATCAATGATAAAACAATGTGACAGATTTTTAACCTAAAACAAAGGTAGACCAATCTGATTCTGAGGATTCAAATTTATCATATTTAATATTGGGCAAACAGATTTTAAGAGACACATAAGTAAATACATACATGGATGAATAGATACGATTATGTTGTGTGTGTGTGTTAATTTCTCTTTATGTTTCTGGCATTAAATACTACAAAAAATCAACTTCCTGGAGGAAGTGTTTATTTGGCTCACATTTCCAGGTTAAGACCCATCAACATGGAGACGTCAAGGTCAAAAGAACCTGAAGCAGATAGGCACATAATATCTACAGTCCAGAAGAGGGATCAAGGTATTAAAACATTCCTTTTAGTATTCAGATACCATTTTACACTCACATGCAGCTTATAATCTCCTTCCTAGTGGATGATGCTACCCACACCAGGAAGTTCTTCCTAATTCGCTTAACATTATCAAAATATTCCCTGGTAGACAGTCCTATAACTCCACTAAATCTAGACAATTCCTCAATTGAGATCCCCTTCCTTGATCATTTTTACATAGTTTCAAGTAGACAATCCAACCTAACTACCAAACTATAAATGTACTTACAGTTTCTGTGTATTTTATAAATGGATAAGGATGAGGATTACCAATATTCACACTTTTTTAAGGATTTGGCATATTTTAAATATTATGGGTAAATGGGTTGCTTTAAGATAAAGTATAATATATATTATATTGTGTATACCATAATAAATTAATTTTCTATCACTTTATGAGTTTCCACTCATTTACTATCTTTCAGTATTGATGTGCTGCTGCTGCATTGCACACAGCCAATGAGAAGGAAGTTATAAAGAAGCTAAAACCTTCCAGTTTTGCTGCTGGGTATGTAAAGTCATACAACTGGTGTCAAAAAGTTCTATAAATTCCAAGATACAAACAATTTGCATTTGACATTGTATCCCTCCCCAGTTAAATACATTAGTATCTACTCAAGAGGAATAACATTACAATGTATAAACACAAAGTTTATAGTGATTATTCATATGGTGATGTTATTAACAGGGAAAGGTTAGAGTTAATCCAAATGGCCAAGAATAATGAATGATCAGGCAATGTTTGACCCATCACTAAGACAAACTTCTCATACTTGCTGACCATGAGTGCCTCTGAAAGTATCATGCTAGTGATCAGATATAGGGTCTCATGCCTTTCAATCTACCACTTAGGGAGCAAAGACAGCATGATTTCCAGAAGTTCATATAGAATGCTGAATTAAAAATTTTAGAGATCATTTGGATTATCTATGTGCTAAGACATATTGCCTCAGGAGCCTTCTCAGACTCTTCTCACTCCACATTGACAGAAGCAGTCCTCCAGATCAAGGTCCACACCCTTGAACACAACACTTTCCTCCTAGTAGTGTGACCCTGAATATACTGTCCTTGTCCCAAGTAACCATCTTCACCTTTGTATGTCATTGCAGTTCTCAATTATTCACTGTCAACCATCATGTCGATGAAAAATTGCCATTGCCAAATGGGAGGTTTTGCTTTGAGCACAGTGGCCTGGCTACTTTGCTGCATATCCATAGGCCTCCCTCAGTGGCAAGTGTGGCACTATGAAGATCCTGTGATCCTCAAGCCTACAGTGGCTTTTGTGGGTGTATGGAGAGCCTGTGTTTTCCACACTGACAGCAACTCCAGCAACAACAGAGTATGTCACAAATACAACTACCGAGACTCCTTCATTCCTTTCTATATTCGAGTAAACCAGCACTTGCTGCTGGTTTCTAGCTTTCTGGGGCTCTTTGGGAAAATCACCACCATTATTGCTCTTTCGAATGTGGGTATGGGAAGAGTACGGAGGAATGCCACCAGAAATCCATTCAGCCTTCCAGGGATTCTGAATACCATCGTTAGCAGCTTTCTTTACTTTGCTGTTTTGTTAAATTACATAGCCATCTTACGCAAATGGGGAGTTGCCTTCCCACCATCTTTCCATATGCCTTCCCATCCAGACACTCAGAAGATGGGCAGCGCCATGGCTTTGGCAATTATAGCTGCAGTTTTCTTTCTACTAAGTGGCATAATTTGTCTTTCTTCAAATTTATTCATAGGCAAGATGCCCCATCCTAAAATTTAAAAGTAAATTGCTACCTTACATAGCCTTGAAACACCAGCAAAGAGAATGAATATTCTTCATGTGTCAACAAATTTTTAAAGAACTGGAAAGAATGGCAATTGTGGCCTGTGACAAAAGATAGTCCAGTTGACTTTCTCTTATCTATTTGGCTTCTTTTGTGTTGCCTTAATTCATTATTTGGACTGTGGGCTTTTATTAAATAAAATCTTATTTTATGGGTAGTTTCTGAATTTGTGTTTTACTTCCTGTCAACAAAAGTGAATAATTAATAAACCGAATACACATTGAAATGAGTGTCAGAGTACATAAATCTTTTACACTGTTCTAGAATCTAAGGCTAAGTCAAAACCTAGACTGCTCTCCCCTTCCCCCTCTATCCATGTCTGTCTAATCTAAGTCTATTTCCAAGGAAAATCCATCCTTCTCCCTAGCCAATTACTATATAGATAATCTCTGTGGTTCTATAGATTATAGCCTTCTTCGTTTGTTCTTTTTTTATTGATTACTTTATTTATTTATATTTCAAATGTTATCTCCCTTCCTGGTTTCTCTTCTGCAAATCCCCATCCCACACCAATTTCCTTGCTTTTATGAGGGTGCTGGGCAACCCACCCACCCACTCCAACCTCACTGACATAGCATTCACTTTCACTGGAGCATTGAGCCTCCACAGGATCAAGAGCCTCCCCTCGAATTGATGCCAGATAAGGCAATCTCCTGCTACAAATGCAGCTGGAGCCATGGGTTCTTCCCTGTGTACTCATTGGTTGGTGGTTTAGTCCCTGGGAGCTCTGGAGGTCTAGTTCGTTGATATTGTTGTTCTTCCTACGGAGTTACAAACCCCTTCAGCTCCTGCAGCTGTTCTCCTTACTCCTCCATTGGGGTCCTTATGCTTAGTCAGATGGTTGGATGAGAACATCCACATCTGTACTGGTCAGTCTCTAGCAAAGCCTCCCTCCCAGGAGACATCTATACCAGGCTCCTGTCAGCATGCACTTCTTGGCATCAGCAATAGTGTCTGGGTTTGGTATCTGCAGATGGGGTGGATCCCTGGGTGTGGCAGACTCTAGATGGCCTTTTCTTTTGTCTCTACTCCATCTTTGTCCCTGCATATCCTTTTGACAGGAGCAACTCTGGGTTAATAATTTTTGAGATGGGTGGGTTGCCTCATGCCTCCACCAGGGCCATCATCTGGATATGGTCTCTACAGGTTCTCTCTCCCCTTTGTTGGGTATTTCAGCTAATGTCACCCCTGTTGGGTCCTGGGAGCCTCTTGCTTTCCTGGCATCTGGGACTTGCTTGTGGCTACCATCAGTTCTCTGCCCCCCACTGCTAAATACCTCCATTCAATTTCCTGACCCTCTGTATTTCTTACCCCTCTCCTTCCACAACTGATCCTGACCCCCTTACCCCCCACCCCCACCCCCACACACTGCTTGCCCTCCCAGGTCTCTCCCTCTTTCTGCTTCCAGTGATTATTTTGTTTCCCCTTCTAAGTAGGACTGAAGCATTCACACTTTGGTCTTCCTTCTTCTTGAACTTGATATGGTCTGTGAGTTTTATCATGGATATTCTGAGCTTTTTTCCTAATATGCACTTAGTGAGTACATACCATTTGTGTTCTTTTGTGTCCGGGTTAACTCAGTAAGGATGATATTATCTAGTTCTATCCATTTACCTAAGAATTTCATGAAGTCATTGTTTTTAATAGCTGAGTAGTACTCCATTGTGAAAATGTATCACATTTTCTGTATTCATTCCTTTGCTGAGGGACATCTAGATTGTTTTCAGATTCTGGCTATTTAAATAAAGTATGCTATGAATATACTAGAGCATGTGTCCTTGTTATATGTTGGAGCATCTTTTGGGTATATGTCCAGGAGTGGTATAGCTGGGTCCTCAGGTAGTACTAGGTCCAATTTTCTAAAAAACTGCAGACTGATTTCCAGAGTGGTTGTAGTAGCTTGCAATCCCACCAACAATGGTGGAGTGTTCCTCTTTCTCCACATCTTTGCCAGAATCTGCTGTCACCTGAGTTTTTGATCTTAGCCATTCTGATTGGTATAAGGTGGAATCTCAGAGTCATTTTGATTTGCATTTCCCTGATGAGTAAGGATGTTGGACATTTATGTAAGTGCTTCTTAGCCATTCAATACTTGTCAGTTGAGAATTTTTGTTTAGCTCTATACCTCATTTCTCATAGGATTATTTGGTTCTCTAGAGTCTAACTTCTTGAGTTGATTGTATATATTGGATATTAGCCCTCTATTGGATATAGGGTTGGTAAAGATCTTTTCCCAATCTGTAGGCTGCCATTTTATCCTGTTGACAGTGTTCTTTGCCTTATAAAAGCTTTTAAGTCCCACTTGTTGATTGTTGATCTTGGAGTATAAGCCATTAATATACTATTTAGGAAATTTTCCCCTATGCCCATGTGTTTGAGGCTCTTTCTCACTTTTTTTCCTTTGTCACTGCTGCCTTTATTTCATTCTTCCAAAAATATCAGTGAGTTTGGGGAGGTGCCACAGAAATAAAGCAAATGTATTTAGCCAGAACAACTCAGTTCTCCTTCTGTGTCCACATCCTCTTACTCTGCAGACCAATGTAGAAACCATTTCCCTCCTGCAAAGGAGACAGCCTTTGCCAAACTAAACAGCAGGCACAAAGCAGATGGAGCCAGCAACCTGGCTCTGCCTCCAGGCTCTACCTTTGGTTGGCAGTAGGCATTTTCTGTTCCTTGCACAGAATTTTCACTGACCTCTTCAGGAGCTTCCAACTTCTTCTTTTTTTTAAAATTGGATATTTTATTTACATTTCAGATGTGATTCCCCTTTCCCCATTTACCATCACCCAGGAACCTCCTATCCCATTCCTCCTCCTCCTACTTCTAAGAGGATGTGCCCCCACCCACGAATTCCTCCACATTGGGGCATCCAGCCTTCACTGGACCAAGGACTTCCTCCCCCATCTATGCCTGAAAATGTCATCCTCCCCTACCTATGGCTCCAGCTATGATGAACTTTTAAAAGGAATATTTAAATAATTATGCTTTGGTTTTGACAGTCCCCATCAACCAAAATAAATTCCAGTTTGAATTTTTGAATGAAATGATTCCACTAAGCCAATTTATTGCCTCTCTCTCTCTCTCTCTCTCTCTCTCTCTCTCTCT